AATAATCTCAATCTTTTGGTATTGGTTGAGACCTGATTTGTGACCCAATATCTGGTCTATTCTGGAGAAAGTTCCATGTGCTCTCGAGAAGAATGAGTATTCAGTTGTTTTAGGGTGGAATGTTCTGTATATATCTATGAGGTCCATCTGGTCCAGTGTATCATTCAAAGCTCTTGTTTCCTTGTTGATTTTCTGCTTAGATGATCTGTCCATTGCTGAGAGTGGAGTATTGAGGTCTCCTACATTTAACGTATTGTTATCAATATGACTTTTTATTTTGGTTAACAGTTGGCTTATGTAGATGGCTGCTCCCATGTTGGAGGCATAGATATTTACAATTGTTAGATCTTGTTGGGTAGACCCTTTAAGAATGATATAGTGTCTTTCTGTGTCTCTAATTACTGACTTTAAAATCTAATTTGTCTGATATAAGAATTGCTACCCCAGCTTTCTTTTGAGGTCCGCTGGCATGGAAGATGGATCTCCATCCCTTCACTTTCAGTCTGGATGTATCTTTGGGTTCAAAATGAGTCTCTTGTAGACAGCATATGGATGGGTCCTGTCTTTTTATCCAATCTGCAACCCTGTGCCGTTTTATGGGAGCATTTAGGCCATTCGCGTTGAGAGTGATTATTGAAAGATATGAATTAATTGTCATGTTGCCTGTGAAGACGTCGTTTTTATAGATTGTGCCTGTAAATTTATGTTGTATATCACTCTTGGGGTCTTTCTCCTTTTATAGAACCCCCCTTAATATTTCTTGCAGGGCTGGCTTAGTGGTCACATATTCTCTCAGTTTCTGCCGGTCATGGAAGCTCTGCATCTCTCCATCCATTCTGACAGCCTTGCCGGATAAAGTATTCTTGGCTGCATGTTCTTCTCGTTTAGTACACTGAATATGTCTTGCCAGGCCTTTCTGGCTTGCCAGGTCTCTGTGGATAGGTCTGACATTATTCTGATGTTCCTTCCTCTGTACGTAAGGAATCTCTTCCTCCTAACTGCCCTTAAGATGGTTTCTTTGGTTCTAAGATTTGCGAGTTTTACTATTACATGCCGGGGTGTTGGCCTGTTTTCCTTGATCTCGGGAGGGGTCCTCTCTGCCTCTAGGACGTGAATGTTTGTTTCATTCCCCAGATTAGGGAAGTTCTCAGCTACAGTTTGCTCAAATACATCCTGTAGTCCTCTCTCTCTCTCCACTTCCTCCGGGATTCCAATTATTCTGACATTAGAACGCTTCATGAATGGTGTCACTTATTTCTCTGATTCTATTTTCATGGATTCTGAGTTGTTTTTCTCTGGCCTCCTCTTTTCCCTTTTAATCTATTAAATTGTCTTCCAGGTCGCTTATTCGTTCTTCTGCCTCACTTACCCTAGCTGTTAGATTATCTAGATTGGATTGGATCTCATTGGTAGCATTTTCAAGTTCTGCCAATTCAGCTTTCATTTCTGCCCTAGAGACTGTATGTTGCCATTAATTGAATTCTCCATTCTAGCCATTGTCTTCACAATTGCCAGCCTGAATTCCATCTCCGACATCTTGGTTATATCTGCATCCATTTGTAAATCTGTAGCATAAGTCATAATCTCTGAGTCTTTTCTATTTTGGGGGTTCCTCCTCCTAGTCATTCTGTTGAGGGGTGGTTGAGGGAATGTATAGAGTCCAAATTATTGACCAGAACCCAAGCAAGATGCACCTATTTTCTTGGGACCTTAAGGTTGCTGGCCTCTTGTTTTCCCAGCCTGTCTTCTGGGGGAGGGGCCTGCCGCGCTGTTATTCAGGCAACCCTGTTTGGGCAGAGTTGCCCTGCCCCCCTGTGGCCGGGGATGGGCTCAGTGGGAATCGTTTTTCTGGGGCTTTTGTTCTTTGGTGGCTTTCTCTGGCGGCTTTCCGCGTCTCTTCTGAGAGAGTAGAAGAGACTGTTTCCAACCCTCTGCCTCAGAGCAGAGAGACTGCATTCTGTTCTTCAGTGAGGTCTCCAGGCCACACTGTCTCTGTTTCTGTCTGTGCTGCTATAAACTGCAGCGTCATGGGTTGTGCACCCCTCTGCACAGCTCCCAGACCTGCCTCCAGGTTGGGTTTGTCTCTGCCCTTTGTGCTTCTAAAACCGCCAGCTGCTCCCAGTTCGCACGCGTGCGCACAACCCCACCGCTCCAGGTTTCCGCCCCCGGGCTACCCTAAAGTCCTTTCCCCACCGCTACCGGTCTGTGAGTCTGTGCCCCATCCCCAGTGCGTGAGGCTGTCCTTCACCAGCGGTGTAGGATCCTCACGGCCAGGCTCCCTCCTGCTGCCATTTATCCTCCGATACCTGCCCGCAGAATCACGGTTCCCTGCTTCCTACCTCAAAACCAACCGCCTGCGATATTCTGCTTGTAGAGATCCAGATCTTACATCTCAGGCTGGTTTCGTGGGTGCTCAGAGTGGTCTGGTAGATATCCAGCTCAATTCCCGGGACCAGTTGAAATAGGGTCCCCTACTCCTCTGCCATCTTTTCTTCTTTATTTTTGCTTTAAAAAGCTTTTTGCAGAAAAGAAAAAGAGAAAAGGCAGACATATTTAAATTCCTTATATTTACCTACACACTAAAAAAATTGTTAGTGTCCTATGGATTTAAGGTATCATCTGGTACTATTTCGTCAGAGATTTTCTTTTGTATATTTTGTAAATCAGTTCTGCTAGCAAATATTTTTGTTTATCTGCAAATGCTTTTATTTTGCCATGTTTAAAGGAGTTTCACTGGATATAGAATTCTTGATTGACAGGTTGCTTTCTTTTAGTATTTTGAATATGTCATTCCAGTGTTTCCTGGCCTCAGAGTTTTTGAGTGTGTTGAAACTCAGCTGGAAGTACTATTCTTCTCCTATGCATGATGTGTCATTTTTTTTCTTAACTGCTTTCAAGTTTTTTCTCTCCATTTCTCAGCAGTTTGATTTTGATGTGTCTAGTTATCTAGGTATCCTGCCTGTATTTTATGGAGCTTTTCTTGGATATGTAAATTAACATTTCTCACCAAATTGGGTGATTTTAAAGACATTTTTCTTTTCTTTTCTTTTTTTTTGCCTTTTTCTTTCCCCTCTTTCTACCACTCCAGTTACACATATACTGGATGGAATGCCTATTATTACACCACAGATCTCTGAAGTTTTATTTATTTTATTTTATTTTTTAATAATTTTTTTATTGTTATGTTAACCACCATACATTACATCATTAGTTTTTGATGCAGTGTTCCATGATTCATTGTTTGTGCATAACACCCCGTGCTCCATGCAGAACGTGCCCTCTTTAATACCCATCACCAGGCCAACCCATCCCCCCACCCCCCTCCCCTCTAGAACCCTCAGTTTGTTTATCAGAGTCCATCGTCTCTCATGGTTCGTCTCCCCCTCCGACTTACTCCCCTTCATTCTTCCCCTCCTGCTATCTTTTTCTTCTTCTTTTTTTTCTTAACATATGTTGCATTATTTGTTTCAGAAGTACAGATCTGTGATTCAACAGTCTTGCACAATTCACAGCGCTCACCATAGCACATACCCTCCCCAATGTCTATCACCCAGCCACCCAATTGAAGTTTTATTTTTTTATAATCCTTTTTTTCTTTTTGTTCTTTGGGTTAGTTAATTTTTAGTGATATCTTCGAATTTACTGATTCTGATCTTGCTTTCTGCTTTCTCAAATCTAATAAGCCCATCTGGTGAAATTTTAATTTTAGCCTTAGACTTTCCATTTGGTTCTTTTATGTTTTAACTTACACAAAATTAATGTTCGGCGTAGAGTAAGTTAACTAGTACCATAATCATAATACAAAAAAGTTCTAATACTCAAAATTTCCTCTTTCTGTCTCCCTGTAGTCAAACTAGTTCCTTTATATACTTTTTTCTCCTTTAAAATTACATATTTGTGTACTCATTGCCTAGCAGTTTTTTCCTTTGAGTTAATATGTTTATAATAGCTTCTTTGGGAGCTTTGTTTACAAAATTCAGCATTTGTGCCCACGTAGAGTTACTTTCTATTAACTGATTTTATTCCTTAGTTTAGGTCACAGTTTTCTGTTTCTTTCTGTGTCTAGTAATTTTTGGTTGAAAATTCTACATTGTAAGATGATGTGTTGTAGTCTGGATTCTTCTGATCTTCCAAGCGTTTCTTTCTTGTCTTAGAGACATTTAACTTGCTTGAGCTTAAACTGTGACATCTGTCTCTCCCGTAGAGTGTCATTGCTGATGTCTCTGGTTTTTGTTTGTTTGTTAAGTCTGGCTCTCTAAGAGACTCCCCTTCACCTGGATAAAGTAGAGGTGAGCTAGTGATTTGGACAGAGATTGTATTAGACATCAGAAGCCAGTGTGGCTTTTACTCTTTGCTGCCTGAGTTGTGTATGTGTCAGAATACTTTAAAAGTATAGCTAATTTGCAAGACTCTCCAAACTTTCAATCACTGCTATGCTCTCTAGGATATCTTTGCACAAATATTTTAGTGGTGAGTTGGGAGTATAGGGAGAGTTTATCATCTCGACTTTTCTTTGACTCTTTTACTTCCAAATTCCCATTAAGTTTCTAGCTGCTTTACTAACAGCATTAAGCTGTATCCTGTGGATTAGTGTTTTAATGCCCCATAACTAGGGGTGGGAGATGGGAAAACCTTAAGAAAGAATGCCACAAGCTCCCCATTCTTACCTAATGAAGTAGAAGTTTTGGGTGAGTAAGCACTTTGCAGCTTATTACCTCCCATTGGTAGTGTTTCAGTGCCCTAAATTAGTTTTTGCTTTTTAATCATTTTAGTTTTGTACTTGTTTTTTGGGGAGGAGAATTCTTCAACTACTTCATGCCACCACTGTTGGAAGTAAAGTCCATCTTTAGTTACTCATGTGATAAATTTACATGTTTCAAATGGCCCTTTGCCCTCCCAGTCTCTGTCTCGTGGACCATCATGTATCATCCATTTGTTTTTAACCTCTTTTGTCCTCTACTAAATCTTTTTATCTATTTGATTTTTTTTTATTCTTTCAGAGAGGGAGACTAGACTTGAAAATCCTCAATTGGACATACTTGAAGGTGTTTCCTTCCATAAGGAGATATTGGAAGGTGTAACAAGAGATCATTCATTGTACTCCATTTTTAAGGAATGGCAGGATGATGACCAGCTGGAGAGAGATCAGGAAAATGACGACAGACTTCTCAGGCAAGTCATGGCCATCAAAAACAAAACAGTTGTTGAAGAATCAGGCTATTCATATAAGGCATTAGGAAAAATGTTTCGTGACTACACAGACCTAGATGCTTCAGGACAAGGACGGTATACATGTGACTCATTTGAAAAGAGCTTGGAACCTAATATAAACTTACTCAGTTGTAATAGGGGTTATGCAAGAAAAAACACTGGTGAGAATTTTAGATGTGGGAGTACATCTGTTTCTTCCTATTCTAAGCATGAAAAAATTCATAATGGAGTGAAACACTGTGAAGATAGTCAGTGTGGAAAGATTATCAGCAATAAACAATCTCTTATTCAATATGTGAATGTTGAAAGTGGAGAGAAGACCTGTGTATGCATTGACTGTGGAAAATCTTTTCTAAAAAAGTCACAACTCATAATACATCAAAGAATTCATACTGGAGAGAAACCATATGATTGTGGTGTATGTGGGAAAGCCTTCAGTGAGAAGTCACATCTCATTGTACATCAGAGAACTCATACTGGGGAAAAACCTTATGAATGTTCTGAATGTGGAAAAGCCTTCTCTCAGAAATCATCCCTCATTATACATCAGAGAGTTCATTCTGGGGAAAAACCATATGAATGCAATGACTGTGGGAAAGCCTTCTCCCAGAAATCACCCCTCATTATACATCAGAGAATTCACACTGGAGAGAAACCTTATGAATGTAATCAGTGTGGGAAGTCCTTCTCCCAGAAGTCACAGCTGATAATACATCATAGAGCTCATACTGGAGAGAAGCCATACGAATGTACTGAATGTGGGAAAGCCTTCTGTGAGAAGTCCCACCTCATTATTCATAAAAGAATTCACACTGGGGAGAAACCGTACAAATGTGCTCAATGTGAGGAAGCCTTCAGCAGGAAGTCAGAACTCATTATACATCAGATAATTCATACTGGGGAGAAACCTTATGAATGTACAGAATGTGGAAAGACCTTCTCCCGGAAGTCACAGCTCATCATACATCAGAGAACGCATACTGGAGAGAAACCCTATAAATGCAGTGAATGCGGAAAAGCCTTCTGTCAGCAGTCACATCTCATTGGACATCAGAGAATTCACACAGGAGAAAAACCTTACGTATGCAGTGAATGTGGGAAAGCCTTCTCTCAGAAGTCCCACCTCCCAGGGCATCAGCGCATTCATACAGGAGAGAAACCTTACATATGTGCTGAGTGTGGAAAGGCCTTTTCCCAGAAGTCAGACCTTGTTGTACATCGGAGAATTCATACTGGGGAGAGACCCTATCGGTGTGCTGTATGTGGGAAAGCATTCATTCAAAAGTCACAACTCACTGTACACCAGAGAATTCATGCAGTGGTAAAATCATAAGAATGGACTAAGCACAGAAGAGTCTTCAGTATCTGCTCAAGCCTTAATAAGTAACACAAAACCCATGAATTTCAATGAGTTTGGGGCATCTTTACTGATAAAATTTTAGAAGTGAAATAAACTTCCTAATGTATGTAATTTTTTTATCAGAGTTAATACATCTCAGTTATATAAATAATGGGCATTTTCGCTATGGCATGTAAAACTTTTGAGATTGTGAACTGAATGATTAATATACAAGTTACATATATAGTTTATTTTGAAGTTATGTATTTATGATTATGTTACATAATAAGAATTGGACATGTGATAATATTGTCACTGTTAACTTAGCATAATTTATAGCTGTGCAGTAATTCCCCATAGAGGACATGAAGAAAGCTTGAGTCAAAAGATGCCATGACCTAGAAACTGTGCCTGGGGGAAGGATTTGTTTGTTACTCCTAAGGGTATCTGTAAAATTATTCTTGTAGATAGATGGAAAGATGGGTTGATAAGGTCCAATAAATGTGGTCTCTTTGTTTGTTTGTTTCATTTCAAGAATATAAGTTGATCTGTGTCAGTGGATGGACCCAGGATCTTGGAATTGACACTTCTTGCTATTTTCTTTTACTCCTCCCCTCTAGGAACTTGGTGTGATGAAAAGACATAGATAGCCATGGGTTTTAATGCTTATTCCAGTACTCACCGATTTTGTAACTTCAGGGAAACCTTTTTTCATCCACAGTATCTGTTCCCTGATCTCTATATAAAATTCTTGCAGAGACATGTTTTTAGCTCATATTTGTCCCCTTTATCTTCCCTTTCTGTTCTTTTGAAGGAGGTTGCTAATACCCAGGTGTACACCTTTAAACTTGATTTGCATTCCAGACACTGGGTTTCTGATTCTCCTGATTTCCTTTTCTGTCTTTTTTCCATTAACACTGCCCTTGTGTCTGGTGGCCTAACTCATATGTTATGGAGACCTCACTTTTTTTGCAAACACATGTATGTTATGGTGCTTGCACATAAAGACCCTGTATGATGCCATCACAGATCCTGTTTTACACTTTCCCAAAAGCACCAATTCTTTTCCTGAGAATTGAGTGGCCCTCAGAGAAAAATCCATAGGGAATGTGGAAGACATGCCTGGGATAGCCTACATGGGCAGGTATGAATCCTACCTGCTATTTCTAAAATGTTTCTGTATTCTTCGTTGTGGGCCCAACCCTTCTCCATAAGAATCTTTAGGAAAGCATCTTGATAGGGAGAAGTCATACGTAGCAGGGATGTAGTGACCTGTGTGGCTAAATACGGTTTCTGCCAGAAAGTTCCTACTTGATTCCTTCATATGTCCTTCTTAGCTGACTGTTTCTCTATAGGGCCCCAGTGTTTACTCTGAGAAGTAAGACTCTGTATGGGAACCTCTGCAGAGGACATAGCATACCTCATAAAGATATGCAAATGTGTGTGAGAAAATTCTTTGTGTCATTGTAAACAGTTATTGATACTGGATATAATTGGCCATTTGGACCTGGGAAATAAAATCTTCAGGCATGTACCATGGAGTGATCTGCTTTGAGAGGTCTTGATGGAAATTGGCCCTACCTGGCCCTTATTATGGAAGCATGGGAAAATCAGGGTCTCAGGAACATACAGAAATGTGAGAAGGAAATGATAATATAGTAACACTTACAGAAATTATGTAAGGAAAATAAAGACTCGAGTTCTTGTCTTCTCATGGGCCTTCCATTTTGCCTTTTCACCTTCCAGGAAACCTCACTGATCTGATCATGACATAATATGTACTATATATTGCCATAAAATATAGCAAAATTTAATACTTATTGGTGTATAGAAAATTATTCCTCTAAAGTCTGGAAAAAAGAATGCCTATTTTCACCAGTTTTATTCAACATTGCATTAAAAGACCTAGTCAGGAAAATCAGGCAAGAAAAAATTGGTATAATTGATTGGAAAGCAATAAAACATTATTTGATAAAATTATATGCATAAGATGAAAATGTATAGGTTAATTATTAGAAATAGGAAGTAGCAATGTTTCTGTATATAAAGTTTTTAAAAATAAAGCTTATGCAATAGATATAAAATGAAAATTTAAAGATATCAGTTACAGTGGCGTGAAAAATACATCATGTCTAGAAATGTGTATTTCCAGTACTATGTTGAATAGAAGTGGCAAGAATGGGCATCCTTGCATTGTTCCTGATATTAGAGGAAAAGCTTTCTTCACCACTGATTATGATGTTAGCTCTGAGCATGCCATATATTGCCTTCGTTATGTGGAAGTACATTCTTTCTGTGACTAATTTTTTGAGAATTTTTATCAAGAAAGGATGTTGAATTTTTGACAATTTTTCTGCAAAGTGTTGAGATGATTTTTTTTATCCTTTATTCTGTTAATGTGGTGATTACCTCTATCAATTTGTATATGTTAAAACATGCTTGCATCCCAGGTATAAATCACATGATCATGGTGTATGACCCTTTAAATGTGCTGTTGAATTCTGTGTGCTTATACTTTGTTGAGAATTTGCATTTATATTCATCAAGAATGTTGGGCTTTTCTTGTAGTGCCCTTATCTGGCTTTAGTGTCAGAGTAATGCTGGCCTTGTAAAATGAATTTGGGAGTGTTCCCTTCTTCAGTTTTTTTGAAGAGTTTAAGTAGGATTGTTGTTAATTCTTTAAATACTTGGTGGAATTCACCAGTGAAACTATTTGGTCCTAGGCTTTTCTTTCTTTCTTTCTTTCTTTCTTTCTTTCTTTCTTTCTTTCTTTCCTTTCTTTCTTTCCTTTCTTTCTTTTCTTTCTTTTCTTTTTCTTTCTTTCTTTCTTTCTTTTTTTTTTAAAGATTTTATTTATTTGACAGAGAGCACAAACAGAGGGAGAGAGAGGGAGAAGCAGGCTCCCTGCTAAGCAAGGAGCCCGACGTGGTATTTGATCCCAGGACCCTGGGATCATGACCCGGGCCAAAGGCAGCTGCTTAACCGACTGAGCCACTCAGGCATCCCATGGTCCTGGGCTTTTCTTAACATGTTAAGATGTTTTTGATTACTGATTCAGTCTCTTACTCATTATTGGTCTGTTAAGATTTTCTATGAATGGTTCAGTCTCATGTGTTGTATGTTTCTAGGAATTTACTTCTTGGTTATGCAGTTTGTTGACATAATTGTTCTAAGTGACATGATCTGTAGTATTTCTGTGTTATCAGTTATAATGTCTCCTCTTTCATTTCTAATTGTACTTGAGTCTTATCTCCTTTTTTCTTAGTGTGACTAATGGTGTGTTAATTTTGCTTTTCAAAAAACCAGCTTTTAGTTTCGTTGATCTTTTCTATTGTTTCTCTGGTCTCTATTTCATTTGTTTCTGCTCTGACTTCATTATTTCCTTCCTTCTGCTAATTTTTGGCTTAATCTTTTCTTCTTTTTCTATGTCTTTGAGGTATAAAGTTGGTTGAGATCTTTGTTTCTTAATGTAGGTATTTATCACTATAAACTGCCTGCTTAGAAGTGCTTTTGCTACATCCAATAGGTTTTAGTAAATTGTGTTTCCATTTTCATTTGCTTCAAGATATTTGTAAAATATCTTGGTTCAGGTATGTGTTAAATTTCCACATATTTGTGAGTTTCCAGGTTTTTTTAATAAGTAGACTCATTAAGTTTCTATAATTTTTTTAAGATTTTATTTATTTGTCAGAGAGAGAGTAAGTGAGCAAGAGCGCACAAGCACGGGGAGCAGCAGAGGTAGAAGCAGACTCCCCGCTGAGCAGGGAGCCCAATGAGGAACTTGATCCCAGGACCCTGGGATCATGACCTGAACCAAAGGCAGACGCTTAACCGACTGAACCATCCAGGTTGTCCCTCTCTAAATGTTTTTCTAAATCAATTATTTGATCAGTATGTGCTTCTTTACAATTTATTTCTAAATAAAGAGAAAAGTCCTAATAGTTTATTTTTGTTTTTGTTTCCCTTGCCTCAGGAGACATATCTAGAAGGAAGTTGCTGTGGCTAATGTCAAAGAGTTACCCTATGTTTTCCTCTAGGATTTTTATGGTTCAGGTCTCACATTTAGGTCTTCAATCCATTTTGAATTTATTTTTGTGTTCAGTATAAAAAAGTGGTCCAGTTTCATTCTTTTGCATGTTGCTGTCCAGTTTTCCCAACACCAGTTGTTGAAGAGACAATCTTTTTCCCATTGGATATTCTTTTCTGCTTTGTCAAAGATTAATTGACCGTGCAGTAGTGGGTTCATTTCTGGGGTTTTTTATTCTGTTCTATTGATCTATGTGTCTATTTGCCAGTATCATACTGTGTTGATCATTACCACTTTGTAATACAATTTGAAGTTCAGAATTGTGATGCCTCCAGCTTTGCTTTTTCAAGGTTGCTTTGGCTATTCGGGGTATTTTTCAAGGTTGCTCTGGCTATTCGGGGTCTTCTGTGGTTCCATACAAAATAAAAAGCTTCTGCACAGTGAAGGAAACCATCAACAAATCTAAAAGGCAACCATCCTGGGAACTCGGGAGAAAGCCGCGGTCAAGGTGCGGGGGCACTCCGTGTGAGAGAGTCTCATTTGCCAGTCTTGTGGTGCTAACCTGAGGAGCAGGCATCTGATTTGACACACCTCTGGAGCCTGCAGGGGTGCTCTCCTGGTGGAGACTGGTGTGACCCCAGTTGGCGCTCTTTCCCCTCTGCTCCATAGCGCCAGCATTTCCGGGGTGGTGCTGTGAGTTTCCAGTTTTCTTTATTTTCTAGTTTCATACCATTGTGGTCAGAAAACATACTCGGTATGTTTATTCAGAGTCCCTTGAGATTACATATGAATTTTAGGATGGATTTTTCTATTTCTGCACCAAAAAAAATGCCATTGGGTGGGATTTTGATAAAAATTTTGTTGTGTTTGTGGATCACATTGGGTGATATTTACATCTTAAATATATTAAATTTTCCAATCTGTGAATATGTGGTTTCTTTCCATTTGTGTGTTT